TATACGGTCTGTTGGTCTCCATGATGCAATTCTGATTTGAGGTCGCACGCTTATCTACAGTGTAATTACCAACTGACTGATACCAAAGTCCGATGACCTTCCATTGCTATCAAATATCGGTACTGCCTTGTTCCAGTTTCATGCACCCACATGCTGGGATTTGCACACTTTGATAAGTGATAACTATTCGAAATTATTTCTTCAGCCTTCGTTGTAAAGGTAGCGCAGTATCCATTCATTTCTATTGATAAATATGCCCTTATCATGAGTTTCAAGAAACCATTTCTTTGGCTCTTTCTGGCTTTTGTCTTGGTCAGATTTGGACCTTATCACCAAATAACCTTAGCAGACGGATGGTGACACCACCCACCTTCGCTCCTTTTCCAGTTCTTGAACATTTTCCCGTCGGCTGTTCGATGAAAAAGTAATATTTTTTGTTGCATTCGGTTCGTAACAACTCTCACTTACAGTACACATGTTAGCTCCAAACTACACCGAAGAATATCCCGGCGTACCTGAGGGAATGCTGAAAAACCGCCGACATATCCGTCCGGTGAAAAAAGAATAAAGCCGGGAAGGTCGGAGCAGGATTAATGCCTGTGGCTTTACCGGTGCCAGAGGCCTCGCTTTCACCTTCAACTCTGCTGAGGATAAAGGTTGAGAGCATCAAAAATGAGTTCACCTGCGTGTTGCCCTGCTAGGATACATGATCTTTCTTTGGGAGCCTGACACTGCAGTGTCCCGTGCAAAGGCAGTGATAAAAAATTATACCATCTATGCATTGTCATAGCTTTTACAAACTGCAACGCATTGGGCAACACATGTTTTTTAATCCACATCACAAATCAGTAAGTTGCAGCCACTATCACTGCTGATCCTGCAATTGATTCCACAATCATTCTCCCCCTGTTGTGCCACGGGTTTGTATTCACTGCAACTTAGAGTCAACTTGCTACAAAGTACTGAGCGTGCCGGGCGTCCGTGGAAGTCGCAACTCTGTCGCTATAATCCGATCATGTTGAGGACGTGAATAACTCACGTGTCTGCACTATGAAGGACGACGTCAGACCAGGCCGTCCGGCAGTGGAATGTTCGCTCTCGACGGCCTCAATCCGTCCGAGGTGGCCGCTGTCTCACCTGCCATGGGTGGTTGCTGGTCACTGGTCAGGTCGGTAGAGACTGGCAGACATCGGTCCAGTATAAGCCTCATGGGCAGTCCGAGTTGCTAGAACAGAAGTCTGGCCCATGCTGCACTGAACAAAGTGAGAGGGGAAATGCAGTGTCATGGTGTGCAGATCCAATTTCTATACGGCTCTGATCGTTATTCGATCAGTCAAGTTGGAAACAAGGACGGTGCATCGGATAATATCTAGGTAATGCGCAGCAACAGGTGTGACGCCATGTGCAAAACAAAAACTCACCCGGTCAACACTTTGAATACCGAGAGTTCATAAGTGAAAGGTTGAACCATCAACTATTCGAGCGGAACAATCTGGTAAGCCACCACCGTTCCCGGCCTGATGAATATTTAATTAATGGACTCGTTTTGTAGGTAAGTCGGTAACAGTTTCCGACAGCCGGCTGTATGAAAGAATCGGAAACACACCGGGCGTGGCATCACTCCACCAACAGACTCATCCCCAACCGCACCAAACCTGCAACTCACAGCCAGCCTTTAACACATCGTCACTCGCTACTACTTATGCGCCTCACGCCGCGTGCATTGCTCCCAAACACTTCACGGCGCTGGGTGTACCCGGCGAAAGTCGGGCCTCCGCCACTGCTGGTGAGTGACCCGACCCGGCCGGTCGGGCGGGACCTTGGATGGAGGTTAGCCTGGCTCTCTCGCGGGTATTGCTGACCGATTGGGTCGCTGGCCGCCGGCCTGTTTCGGTCCAGTTGGCTCGACGGCCGCCGGTGGTCGAATAGAGTTATCGCAGGGAGGTGTTGGTTACTACTTGTTAAGTGAGACAGGTGTGGCCCTTGGAACGTCCCACTTCTTGTTCATAGTGGCAACAGTGGCAATGGCAGACAGACAAGTTCGCCCCTGAAATGGCCACTGTATCCTGCTACATTGTTTCTGATTGAACTATTCGAATTCATGTGACTTGCTATTGGGCGATGTAACTAAAAATAAAGTACCTGTACAACTTAATCAAAGCAGCTAGGTGTAATTCTATCTTTGATGCTCCATCGAGACCGAGCCCCCAAATTAACCTCGCGATCGTGATTTATCTATGCGGCGTGCCATCGGCTGGCTGGTGGCCGACCTCTGGCTCCGGGCGTGTCCCCTCCCCTCCCCTCCCTCCTGCCTCCCCCCCCCCCCCGGCATCGGTCACGTCCGGCCGGCCGTCAGCACAGCCCCCCTCTACCCCATCCCCAGCCCGTCATATTTGAGGGTGGGGGTGTGAGCTGTCGTTATGTGGAGCTCGGTCTGGTGCTGTTAGCTGGTTGGTCAGGCTGTGTGATGACAGCATTGCTAGCTCAGCGCGCTGAAATAAACATCGAATGTTGGTTTGAACGCAATCGTAAGGTAGCGATTAGGATCACCTATATGACAGAGGACATAGTTTTAGGTATAATTCGATCGCCGTGGGTTTTATGGTATTATGGCAATGCATTGTTAAACAAATCGCAACGAATCCTGTGTACATGAAGTGTGGCCAACGGTTCTGAGAGGAAGACCTTGGACAACACCTTTATTTATGCCTTCAACAGAATAGACGTACGACTGTTCCACATACGGTTAACGGTAAACAATCAACCAATCTATAACAGTTGTCGGTGTCACTACATTTGTCACAGTGGCACCGACCACTCAACAAGGCAAGGTCAAACATCCTGACACCAACGCCCTGCCACCTTTCGGTCGCAACTAGCGGGAAAATGTTCATCACGCCCGGTGGTGCTCTTTCGTTATTTCCTGAGTTTCTCGTATTTAACCGTTTACTTCTTGGGACATGAACGGTTACGAAACAGGTGGCAACTTGGTTATTGTGTGAAGCTGTGAAGTTAAGTTCAGGATTTTTTCTAGCTGCGAAACTCGGCAGTGGTCATGTATGTATTGTGCCATCGTTGCCTGTATGGACAGCACTGACCATCGTTACTCGTTTTCACTCACACGGCGTAACATGGTAACGCTGCGACTCCTCGGAAAACCGGTGTCTTCCCAGCTTCCCGTATTGCGCGATTGGGGCTCGTGGGAGATTTCACGGTTGGTTTGACCTTTCTCCAGCCGGCGGCGGTTGCATTGCGTCTGCAGTCTGATCGTCGTTTGCCGGCGAGGGAGCGGCGAAGGCTCGCAGATCTGAGATCGATGACATTGAAGGCGCTCCTTCCGCTGCCGGGCCCGCGGGCCGAACGGTCCACAGGGTCTCTGAGCTCACCAGGGACAGGTTTATAGCTCAAAACATGTCGGCACGCCCACACAGCGCCGTATTTAGGACCGTGAGGCATGTCTGGGTGAACAGGCAGTGCTCAGTCCCGAGATCCCAATCTCTCCCGTTGATTGGCACTGCCTGTCCCGAGTCCCGAACGTTTGTCCGTTCTCCCCGATACTGTCCGGTGCTCCAACTGGGGAGCTGGCTGGCCATGCGTGACCACGGGAATAAACCGATGTGATCTTCGTGCTCGTGGAAACCTATTTCGCAACACTACCTTATCGGGAACGGCCTCGGCACGCCACCTTCAATTATCAGCCCACGTGCCGTTCACAAAACACAGTGCGGCGTCACAAAGACCAAAGTGTGCACACTGCACAGTGCACATTGCACACTGCTACCAGTCTGCCACCATTCCGCGCCTCTGCTCTCCGTGCTTCTGCAGTATCCCGTGTTATTGTGGTTCCATTCAAGTGTGTTCGACACTGTTCTTAGTATTTCAGCCTTTGTCTGCTTATCCTTTTATGACCGCTAGGCGTTTTCTTGTGTCTATCAATCTTTTGATCGTCTTCCCGGTGTTACTGGTCCTTTTTTGCGTTTTCTCTGAGCTGCATCTTCACACCTCTCTGTGTTTCACCGGTGCTTACATTTGTTACCGCTTTTTATTGCCGCCTTACCTCATATCCTCTGTCACTTTGTTGGATTTGCCTGTCATCACTCACATCCTCCTCCTTTCCTCTTGTTTGCTGCATTTCCCTTGTCTCTTGCTGTGTTTTCCTGTTATGTCCGTCCTTTCTCACATCCCTCCCATACGAGAGACGTGTCGTGTCTCACCTACACCCTGCAACCTGCCGACCGTTCTGTCGATCCGTGCCTTTCAGTAAGGACACGTCCCATGCCGACGTGCCGTACCGTGCCCTCTGCTCTGACATGTGTGGGAGGCAGCCTTCCTAGCTGACCGTGGCAGCCCAAACTTCCACGGACGGATCCGGCCCACACAGTCCACCTGCGCCGTGTATATGGAAGCCTTCCTGTGGTCCCAGGTGGGGGCAGACCGGCTTGACTAGCCCAGACGTGACGTCACGCTGACGTCATCATGGCATTGCTCGGTGTCCAAAACGGGAGTGTTTATAACAAAGCGATGCACGTTATGATGCGGCGCACTGTTTTGCCTGTCTCTGTATGATTCATTAAGCAAGTATTCAATCTTTTTCCACCACTAAATCGCTCAGACGATGTCGCTTTCTTTTTATCCTTCTTCTAATGTGTTTCCGTTATGCCCATTCAGCACTTCTAACCCTCTACTCATCTGCCGCCTAATTGTTCGTCCGGGCTGTCTGGTGCCGCTGTCCCTTCAGGCACCTTTTTACCACCACTCCGGAACCCGTTTACCGTCCGCGCTGCAGAGGAAATGAAGGACTCTCTCCTGCGTCGCCGCCCCGCCCCCTCTCTCACCCGGTCCCGCCCCTCTCTCCTCACTCCCGCCCCTCTCTCCTCCCTCCCCCCTCTCACCGGCCATCTGACCTACTCTGTCGATCACCGCGGCGCGGCTACGTGCGCCCTTTAATGCAGATCGATCTCACTAAGTCACTAACCAGGTCTCGTCTCTCTGTCCGGCAGGGAAGCAATGGGTTCGAGGAGCTGCGCAAGTACATCAAACATGGTGGCGATTTCTGCAAGGAGCTGGCCGTCATCCTGCAGGAGAGGTGAGGACAGAGGAAGAGGGAGAGAGAGAGCGAGAGCGAAAAAGAGAGAAAGAGAGAGAGAGAGAGAAAGAAAGAAAGAAAGAAAGAGGGAGAGGGAAATGTAAAGGGAAGAAGGGTCCTACAGATGGGAAAAGAGAGGGAGAAAAAAGAGTTGAAGGGAAACCGATAAGATCTGAGAAGTGAGAGGAGAGAGAAGAGAGAAAGGAGGGGGACGAAAGGGAGCAAAAAAAGAGGGGAAGGTTATATAGAGGAAAAAGAAACAAGCAGGCACATGGTACGGTGAATAGCACCCCCAGCCCCACGCATAGTATCTCACCGACAGCTAGAATATTCAACTGTCTTAAAAAGTTACTTCGATGGTACATGCAATATGCTCCTAAAAGGCCAGATTAGAATTATTTGCCTTTATTATTGATATATTTTATTATCTACATACGTAAATGTACGATATTGTCATTAAAGTATTATGTTCTTTAATGTTTCCCTCTGCACGATTTTAATTCCATGTCATCTATTTCACTAGTTATTTGAGATAGCATAGCTCAAATGAAAAGTGAAATCACATGTGGCATTATGAAACTGTTTCTAAAACATTAGACATTATCTAATAATATCTTGTCACCACTTCAAATGTAAGCGGAGAAAGTCTTGTACTTGGAATCGTACCGCACATTTTTCTATTATACTCGATAGTAGTACATCGTTTCCCCATTCCTCATTCCCCAGTTACAGCTGTGTGTGCAACCGCCACTTCCTACGGTCGTGCTCGACAATTTGTCTTGTTCAATCGTTCCCGACTTCACCATCTCCTATCGTCCGTTTAATCAGTGTCACTGCACTATCTTTAAATCATACTAATTAGCAAGTCCTGAAGAGACGCACCGGGAAGTTTCTTTCCCGCTCTGCAGCTCGCTATTCGATGTCGAGACACCTGATACACCAACTGACAACAGATTCGTCGTGTGCGGCAGTTTCTCGTCGTCCAACCAGACCACTTTTCTCAGCTCTTCTCTGTTCCGCTCCGCCCATCGGGTCTTGGCCGGATGCATCTCTGTCTCTAACTGTGTGTTCATTGGACGGTAACAAGGAGGCTATTCTTGTCCCAGCAGGCTTCCGCATGACACTGCAGACGGTTGTGTGCGTGTCTGCGTGTGTGTGGGTCTGTGTGTGGGCTGTGGGGAGCTGTCAGTTGTCATGCCACCGTTGTGTCGCAGAGGAATGACCTGTCGACCTAGGAGAGTCGTGTCAGTTGACATAAAGCGGCACTCAGACCACCTGTCATGGGTAAAGCAGTCATTGACAGGGCTGACCCTAGCTCACGCCGAGCTACTGGAGACTGGGCAGCTGAGGCTATTGGTTGAGCTCGACTGGTCATCGTAATTAACAGCTCTCTACTATAGTCACGGAGTAAAGGTTAGCCACTGCCGAGTGACGCAGAATTCAATCTCAGCTGCGGAACTAATGTCACGATCTGGCCACAGGACTTCGGCGGCTACTCGATTGCGTGAGCCGTGTGTGTCACTGTCTCGTGAGGGGACGTGAGTCGCGAACGGTGCCGTGAGTCTGGTCACCGGTCTGACACCCGTGTCTTCGTGCCTTGGCTTCACGGCTTGGCAGGACAGAGATGTCGGTTTAGAGGGATAGAACGTTTTGACTGACGCAATCGGTAAGAGCAAGATCTTGTTGAGCTGATGAAAGAGCTTTATCAGGCGGGACAGTTGTTTGGCTTTGCACTGTTTGATAAAATGCAAAGTAATTGATAAGCTGTTGCTGCATGCCATGCCTAGCAAGAGTGATGTAAAGGAGGCAGGCGTTTTGCCGAGACGTACTCGCTAAACACGACATAGCTCATCGAGCTAGTTTGAAAGATAGGTATCAGCAACAAACGTCCGTCCAGTGCATGCAAGCGACCTCGATAAATTTTAGGTGATCTGCTCCGATAACGGATCTTTGGCCGTCAGCAGGCTCTCGTAAATGCTCCACAACGAACTACTCCACCAAGCACTGCCTGCCTCCGTCCGCTTCTGTCGCCTTTGCTCCCCTCCTCTGCAGCCGCCGGAGGCCAGGGCGCGGCCGCCCGCGCTGAGGTGTATAAGGTACGGCTTCCCTGCCCGTCATCGTCCATCTCCGAGGTAGGGTGTTCCTGGGAGCTCCGTGACGGCCCTACGGCGCCCACCAAGGCTCGTCAGACCGGTGATCGGCGCAGAGGCGGCGTCACGCCCAGCCGGACAGTCACGAGAGCGTCCAGAGCCGAAATTGGTAGCCGCCGGGTGCCGGATCCTGACATCACGAGAGAGGAACTGAGCGCGGTGACGGAGACGGGTGGGACTGGCAGGGGGCTCTGACCTTCGCTGGTGGAAGCTGAACGGTCATCGTCACCTTGTTCGTCAGCATCGTCACCGTCCTTCTCTTCTTCATACAGTCATGGCTTTTTCTTGTTACCGCGTTTCTGTTTAGTATGCCCAGTGAGTGTGTTTCCGGATCCTGCAAGACGAACGAGTTTGGTATAGTAGCCCTGTATTCGGCCGATAAAATAGCATTCCTTTGTAGAATCTTTTTAGACAAATACAGGTAGAAGATACTTGTTAATTTAATACTGTTTGTTCCATTCTAGACCACTATTTGTAATAATAAAAGATGACCTTTGCATGTTTGACACCAGCTCCATTGTTCGTTTCCACGAAGAGCATTCTCCGTTAATAAGCCACACAGCGCTGAATCAGCAAACCGGCGTCTCACAACACCTTTCAATGTAGCTACAGACCACTTGTGCTTCTCTTCATCCCTGGCCTGCGGTTGGCCAGACGACGGACAAAAACTAAACAGCTGACGGCCCAATCAGATGTCGCACAATTGGCCAGGGGTGCGTGTGCCAAGCGGTCGTTCAAACGGTGCGCGCACGCGAGCCATGGCGATGATTGGGTATAGGTGGTGGTCAGGACTAGCGACTGGCACAGGGGAGGATTTGGGTCAGGGTGGATCATGGGAGGGATGGGAGGGCCGAAAAGATAAGGACCTAAGACTAGGTACAACTTCGGTTTAGTGGAGGAATCTTAAATATGTCACGGGAGAGATCGAATCATATAAATCGTCGCTATACTTTTTAGCATTAAAAACGATCACGACTTATACTTCAAAAACGAAATGTCTGTTGTTTATTCCATTAAAGGGACTATCCCACCTTTAACATGGGGTTTGAGTTGAGATAGCCAAGTTTGCGGCGAGGTTCAGAAACCACTATCTATCTAGGTTGCAACCCCCGCGGCCTCTTGGTGTTGAAGAAATTCGTTCTCTTCATTTGAAAATGGGCCTTGTGCAAGGCCCTATCTTCAACATGGAGCGACCGTTAGTGTGACGTCACCTCGTTTAGTCATTCTGATTTAAATGGGTTTGTTCGTTGAAAAAATCGCTTAAAACTTGGTCTGAACTTTGTTGTGGTGCCTACAGAGTAAAAAGAATCAGCTTTATGACAGTAATGTGGCCTGGGGAAGGAGGTAATTTTGGGCTGTGACGTCACATATTTGAAAGTTTGTGTTTGGAATATGGGAAGCCTAAGATGTTTAATGAAAAACAAATGCCAGAACCGTGTTCCTGGTCATCCAATCTATAAAGTCGGGCACAATTTAACTGGTTTTAACAACATTTTAGAAGGTGGGATACTGGGATAGTCCCTTTAATTGATGTTTTTATTGTTCATTTTCAGATCTGACCTGGAGGTTAGCTACGCCAAGAGTCTGCAGAAGCTGTCGTCGAAGCTGCTGAAGGCCTCCAAGGAGGGGCTGGGCAGCGTCAATCAGGCCTGGCAGATGGTGGGCGCTGAAATGGAGTACGAAGCCGACGTGCACAAGTGAGTCACCGATGGATGGGAAGAGATAAATGCACTGATTTTGTGCAGGTGCTCTTTCATTTATATGTGTGTTACTGTTGTCACCATCCTTGAATTATCCCGCTTCCACGGTCCGCGGTCCACGAACGTCAAGGGTTATATCTGCATGCATAAAGAACCTCTTAACGAATCATCTTCTTTCGATATGGCAAACATACGCTTTTGACACACTTCCTATAACTCAGTTGCACAGATGCGTGTCCAATGGGCGAATAACCGTGTATGCAGGCTCACGATCACGTTTGCCACCGTCTAGCGTGCTGTCTGGCTGCAAAGAGCACGTCTCCCTGGCTGAGAATGGGCCTCTTCCTGGTCACGGCAGGCTGCCGATGATAAATTATCGTATACAGTTGCGCCGGCACGGAGGAGCACCATTGATTGCAACCTGCAAGAGCATCAGCGAATCTAGAAGTGTGGCTGGCGACGGGGGCTCAGTGTCCCAATTGGAGGTAAAACGGAATAGATGGATTTTACTATTAACTAACAGTTACTTGAATAAAATTACATGAAAAAGGAAGGAATTAAATTAGAATAAAATAAAAAGCAAATTGAATAACGCAACATAAAGATAGACAAAATATAGCACTTATGTATATTTGCGCCGCATGATACGGACTCCTAATTTACGAAATAAATTTACTGAGGGTTTTCATCGCGGCAATATGTTATCGATCAGTAACCTGTCATATGATGCCTTCAAGCCACCGTTTACATTCCCTGGAGAAACCGGGTCCATCTTGCAGTGTTTTCTCTTCGGGTCCGTTCCACACCAGTGACTTCTGATCCACCGCCTGCAGCGATGTGACGGCCGCATCTGGTGTGACGTTACGTGACGTTACGTCACCGTGACGCTGTCATCCCTGTCCCACCGGACGACTGGTGGGCGGCCTTCGTTTGACTTTCCCATCAGCACGGGATCGAGCCACAAAACCCAGCCAGTCGCATTCGGAGCGGTATCGCCTATCAGTGCCGATTCCACGGCCGCCTTTCACAGTCGCCGCTTTCGGCACAATGTTCAATAGCAAAACAGGGCAATCGTATCACATCGATAGCAGCGTCGGATTTTGACACGGATGTCGATAGTCAGAAGCACAAAGCGGATGCGCGACCTTGGTTGCTCGGAATCTGGATAGCTGAAAGGATCGCTTGTTGTGATGGCAGTTCTATTATTCGTTATTCGTCGAATACCTGATGCCGTCTCTTAGCACTAAAGGCCTGGCTACACTATGCGTTTTCTTCGTGCGTTTTTTGCGTGTTTGCGTGTTTTGCGTGATATCGTTCTAGAAAAAATAACGATATTACGTTTTTGTGATGTTTTTCACCTTAAATTTTAGTTACATAAGAGTTATATTAGCTTTTGTATATAACCAAAGTAAAAATTATATTGTTTATAACTTTTTTCCTAGAACGATATTACGCAAAACACGCAAACCTGCAAAAACGCACGCAGAAAACGCATAGTGTAGCCAGGCCTTAAGACAGGCGTGCTGGAAGAGACTCCAGAATGAGTTCATTATCTGGACTCCCGTTACTGTTGACAGAAGAGGGAGGAATTAAGGTGCTGAGCCTGCCAAGGATGCGAAAGCTAGCCAAAGAGTTTGTAAACCAAGCTTGGATCAGACAGGGTTTCCATGGCATCGCCAGGCTGCCACTGCAACTCACGAATGACGACTGGTTACCAGCTACCAGGCTACTGTCTACTGACTACCGAGTTGCTAGCGACTGGCTACCAGGCTACTGACGACTGGCTACCAGGCTACCGGCCGAGTTGGCCAGCAGCTAGGGAGCAATTGCACTAGATGTATAGCTCCAACTCACGTCCTGTTTGCTGTTTTAGCACGCATAGTCCCCCATTACAGGTCTGCGCGCCTGGCGACGGGCCCACGCTCGGTGATATATTGGAAAGGTGAAAACATCAGTCAGAATCGTGGCTTTCCTGTAGCCAAGAAGGCGTCTTAGGTATTTGCCTGGTTCGGGTCTGAAGCGCAGTTCCATATATTTAAACAATGAGTCAATAGTTAGAATGCACACTTGGATCAATTATTATAGGAAAACTGATGCACGCAATTTGACATGCAGCATGGTGAACGACCCAATAGCCGGCGTCATGTATTAGGCTCAGCTGAATCCCGTCTACGATTACAATTGCCCCATTTAATTCGCGATTATTGGCTTTATGAGTTTAGGTTTAGGGTGCCCAGACGGCTAAGGCCATCGGCATCGGTCATTGATGAACGATTATTGCTTTATCTCATACGAAACGGAACATGTCGATGTCCGGGATGTCACGTTCACTGCCAAACACATGACGGTCACCGCCAAACCCGGAAGCCACCGCCAACCCTGCTAACACGGTCCTTGCCATTTCCCCTATGCATGTTGGTACAGTATTTTTAACTCACAGTTTTCTGATTGTGAATAATGTCAAAGCAGCAAAGGTCGCTTTGATGTCAGGCTACCCCGCTTATTTGGTCGTCTCGACCGCGGTGGACATTTGGACGATGGGGCGGGCGTGGGTGGTGGCAATTGATGGCAGACCTCTGTGGGACGGCTTATGGAGTTACCGGGGTCAATGCCTCGTGCGCTTCCCTGTTACGGCTGGCACGCCGTGTTCTGCATGGATTTTAAATGCACATTGGTGTTCTCAGAGGAGGAATATGTTTGGAAGTCTGCTTAGACTAATGTATTGATGACGTGGCCGCAATCCCTTATGAACATCGCCATCGCTCACATGATGCATCCCGTGATGTCGGTTTTCCGATGTTTTGATGTCTCCATCCCCGACCACCAAATTTGTGATGGTGGTTGTGAGGTGAACAGCCTATCCGATTATATCTCGATCCGTTCCATTTGATGAGCCGGGCTGGGCACGACCTTGGGCTGTGTTCAGTTCAGTTCCGGCGTGCCAGTGCGTCCCACCCTGTCCCAAAGCGCCTGACGCCCAGACAGGGAAACTGAACTGGCCTGTCCTGGCTTTGTGTGCGTGGCAATGTAGGGAGGAAACCGACCTCAGACAGACTGTGCTCACAGGAAACTTGCACCGTACTGCTCAGACGTCAATGCATTCCATAGCGTAGGCGTTCAGTTTGGTGTTTACCAAAGGCGTGCTAAAAGTCCCGAACAAACTATACCTTGCCCTGGTATGTTGTGGTTTGCTTGCTGGCTTTTGACCCAAACTGCATGTTCTTTGACAAAGCGATGGCAGTGACATCCTGACATGTCCTGGCATGACTCTAGCTGTCCTGTTTTGCCGCATGACTATGACTGAGACAGATTGTACGTGCAATGTTCATGTCCTGCGCGAAGCCTTGCTATCATGTCTTTGTCATGGCGGTGACGTCTTGTCTCTGTTCTGTTCTGACCTGACCTCCCTCTCCTCCATCAGGACGATGGCGGTGACGTTCACCGAGGAGCTGGTGAAGCCGCTGAAGGGCCTGATCGACACCCAGTACAAGGTGCGCAAGTCCGTGGAGGGCATGGTGGACAAAACGGCCAAGAACCTGGCCGAGTGGCGCTCGGCGGAGGCCAAGGCCAAGAAGATGTCGTACCAGTGCGCCCGGGAGAATGAGAAGGCCGAGGAGCTGGCGCTGGACGTCCGGCTCGGACGGGGCAAGCAGCTCAGCGACAAGGAAATCAACAAGGTGAGAGAATGTGAAGCAATGAGTTAGTGAGCAATGAGTTAGTGGGGGTCAGGGCTAAGGCACGGGACTGCGTGTAGGCAGTGGTGGGGGCATAGGGAGATGACATTTAGGATAAATGAGTCGACAGGCGACACGGGAAAGGATGTGAATCCGTATGGCATTGGGTGAAAAAGACGATAGATGCGATGGACCTCACTGGTCGGGATATGCGTTTCTGGTGCCTCGGCATGCCATGATGTATGGACTGCACGGAGAGCAATGTGCATGGTTTATGCAGTGCTGTGTTTGTGCATTTGAGTGGCTGTCATGCACCGCTCAGGCTTGCCGGATCGTGCTCTGCAAAAGTATCGTTTTCCAAACGGTCAGACACCCTCTCCCGCTGCTGTAACTTCAGCCGTCGTCTGGCGGCCTATAACGGTTGGTTTTACTGGCACCAGTCTGACCTCCCCTCCCGTCCCTGTCGGTTACCATGGATGATATATAACGAATACTGATCCTATGATCCGCCCCTCACCACCCCTTTGACTTAGTAACTGCGCACCGTCGATGGGGAGTGCTGACCCCTGGTAACCGTTTCTATCCTCACAGGTGGAGAACCGGCGGCAGAAGACGGGTAACGCCATGACCAAAGCTGACACCGACTACTACACATTCTGTCTGCGAGGGGAGCGCGCCAGGTAAGAACGAAATGGACGGAACGAACCGACCAGAGCCATCAGCCTGGTTGACTAGAAGAGCAGACGAGAGGTTGGACCAAGGGCTGGACATTGGACAATAGGGTTGATGCAGTAGTGCTCTAAATAAAGTTTGCCGTTTTACAATTTGCATTGCAGTGTGGCCAGTTACGATGGTGGCACTTGTCATTTAGTGTGATACGCCGAATGGGCATTGCTTGAAAACAATCATCGAGGCTTCAACGGTCTTCGTTCCCTCATCCGTTTCGGACTGAAGCACGCCCGTTCTTAGCACATATTCCTATTTATATGCAGTATGCAGATGTACGTTCATGGGACCAGCGCTAGTTTGAGTTGCAAGTCCAGTTCGGCTTACGGATTTTCCCGTCTCTTTATATGTTCACACTTTCCTTATCTGTGCATAATTGTAATCCTTATTGTCCTTGCCTTGTGTGTCGTCGTTATCACACCGAGTCAAATTACTCCTTATAAAGTGATGTCAAATTGGTGCTTTCCCGTCCGTCCCTGCTTTATGCAGGCATCCTTTTCATTGTGCTTTGTTATGCTTTGTTATTGTAGAATGTCTACGTCACGCAAAGTAAGCGTATTACGTTACATATATGTCTCACAAGTTGAAAGAGCCAATGTAAAGCATTGGTATCAAAACAATTTTTCTCTGGAGTGGATTGCAGATATTATGATTATGCCAAGAAGAGAATTACTTTACCTGTTCTCTTTAGTCATTGGTTAGTCGTATTTTTCCAAATTGTTAAAAAGACTACATATTTGTGATTACTCCACCGTCCCACGAATGGCAAATTTCCCGCACTGCTCGCTACTCCTAATCTGTCGGAGCAGTAGCACTAGACTAATAGACTTGCCTGACCATCGCCTTGCTACGACTCTCACCGATATTCTCTTTCCCGTCTCTCTACAGACTCGAGTGGGAGACGGCCGTCAACAAGGGCAGTCAGTGCTTCCAGGCGCTGGAGGAGGAGCGGCTGGTCCGGCTGCGATCAGCCGTCCAGGCCTACCACCAGAACATGCGCTCGCTGGGACCCAAAATGATGCAGGTACGAGTGACACATACGCACACGCAGACCAGCGATAACCGTCCCCAGGCGCAGCCGTCTCCGCCGCTGTAGTCGCCTGTCCGTCGGTTGGTCGGTCCGTTTGTTTGCTCCTGTGAGCCGCACAGTTTTAGGTCGTTGCGCCATTGTTTACGGTCCTCCTCATACAGAGCGGGTCAGAGTCAAACACAGCGCGAGCTTTACACACTCTACATTTCTACAGAGACGGGCTGAATGGGGCTAGGAGACGGGCGAGGAAGAAAACTGATGGAGTAACCAATACATTAGTCGCATGTTTCGAAGAACTTACGATTCCAACTGAGCTTTCCGCTTTCTGAGCATCATTTGTGTCCTCGGAATAAACCTATAATAATACTGATGAAATAGCATTACCAAACTTTATAACGTTTGTGGAGTAAGTCCCTAATAAGAAAAAAATTTATCATTCAAATAATTTTGACACCTACGATATTAGCGGCCTTTATTTGTCTATGACTTGAGATATCTCGGTTCCTTAGCCTTGTCATCGAACGTGTCTAAGCCGTCCCTGGCGGGCTACTGTTCAGCATGCTCCAGTTCGTGGTCCGTCCCGACCGCCCCAGAACCGTCAGGGGTGGCACTATCTACTGACGCCATCATCACGTTTTGTGACGGTGCGCCGCCCGACGAACGGTGCGGCAGGCGGCGCGTGACGACCCGCAGCGTCACTTTTCCCCGTCACTTCTGACACCCGAGAATACATCCGAGCTGTGTCCAGGAAGTGTCTTCCTCTGATTGTTGGTACTGTGTTGCTCGCTTGCTTTGTGCGATGACGACAGGGATAATTAAGCATTAAATTTAGCCGTGTTTCTACCTCACACCAACTGGGAACTGGCACCACTGCGAACCAGTCCCGTAATCCGTCTGGGTAGGCGCAAGGAAGACTGGCGTCTCGGTAATTTGTTCCTGTTCGCTGGCCCACCGGTATCCCACGCGCATATCGCCGTCTTGGGTCATGATTTTTAACGTCGCCGTAACTATAGACCGTGTCAACGAGATCTTTAATTGAAACCTCTTTCATAGCTTCTGATGAGAATCTGTTCGCATGTTTATTTAGATGGCATACGGCTTAAATTTTATCAAAATTTTAGACCATACGCATACCTATAGCAGTATAGCATGAGCCATGAAGGACACATATTGCCTACATCATGATGTAGGCAATAAGTGTGTGGCAATATGGCAATATGTGCATCACCTTGAAATTATGTATTTTAGCGAGTCACTCAATGACATTATAAAAAGAAAGAGCCACTGTAAAGTACCATATTCGAAGACGACAGCTTCTTCCATTGCTGGAACGGTCCGGGGAAGCACGATTCCGGTCGATGTTATAGTGATATTTTGCACGCTAGATGGCATTAGCGTCCAACGCCGTATAGGTAGACTGTACCGCAATGCTTCAATAAAAGCTAAATTCCCACGGTGTATCGGAGAAACGCGACACGTCTTGCAATGGTTTCATACATGGTTTCTGACGCCTTACCTTTCTCTTATACCGAATACCGACTGTATATTTCGAGCAACTCCCGTTTTCCCAGTCACTCTCTAACCCCTCCCCTCTCTCTTCTCTGACAGAGCGCCGACCGCCTCTCTGAGCCGATCCAGTGCGCCGACGTCAACCGTGACGTGCAGACGGTCATCAACGTCAAGGGCTCCGGGCACAACATCCCCGAGCAGCTGCTGCCTGACTTCTACGCCGAGGACATGACCAACGTCATGAACCGGGAGAGGAGGAAGAAGGTACGGCGAAAACATGGCGATTATCGGATAGCTTTGTACGAGCGAAAAGGTTAACCCTCGCCCTGGCAGGGCATTTTTCATAACACGGCCTGGCAGGGGGGGGGGGGTCGATGCGACCCCCCCCCCTCGCGATTGGCTCCTATGGCACCTAGAAACACCAAATTTGGTAGGTAGGTGGGCCTCCTGGAGTTCTCGCCCCTGTGCAAATTTGGTTGCTCTAGGTCAACATTTAGGGGGGTTTTGGGGGGTATAAATGCAAAAATTTCGCTAAAAACAGGTCAAAAGTTTTTCGCTTATAACTTTTGATCTAATTAAGATAGAGCAAAAAGAAAAGCACCAGTGAACTCAGCACGTCAAGGCGCGTCGAATGATATGCTTTTTAGCTTGCTTAAGTGTACTTAAAGTTTTTCTTAAATTTTAAGTAAACTTAAATTAATAAATTAAGTTAAAGTTAACCAAATTGCATCATATCGCATATCATTCGATTCGGCTGATCACCAGGAACACAATGATACCATTTTTTAAGCTCTAGCGTCATTATGTGCCAAGTTATTGGCAAAAACGTCATTTGACCTCAGTTGACCTCATTTGACCTGACCCATGGATAAGTACACCAAACAAAGAAGCACCAAGTGACCTGCTGTTAAGTACTGTGGTTTCAAAGCACAAAAGTGATAGAACGAAGCGGATATCTCCAGTATTTTCCGAATTTAGTATTTTCCCATAGGCTTAACATTACGACGTAATGACCTCTAACTGACCTCAGGTCAGTGACCTCAAAAAACCCGAACTATATGTTACACAACTCGGTGAACTTAGCACATCCTGAAAGTTTGAAGGAAATCAGTGCAAAACTGTGAGTTGGACAGGTGCAAAAAGAAAATTGAAATTTGACCATGACCTTGTACCGGTTTTTCTGACCTGGTGACCTGACCCAAGGTCACCCGGACCTGAAATTTTCAGGTTATATGTAAAAAGGTTGCCCCATAGGCTGTGTAAAATTTGGCGGCGCTGCGCGCCGCCGTTTTTACGCTATCTTCGAAAAACCTTAGGGGGGGTCGCATCGACCCCCCCTGCCAGGGCGAGGGTTAAAGATGATTGAGTTTTCAGACGACTTTGCAATTCATAACTGTATAAAGAGAAGTACACGACTTTTAGACGACCAGATCTGCCCACAATAGTGCCTTATTACGATAAGCCAGTTTCATCAGTTGTATCCTGAAGAATCTAGCCCTTCAGTTGGCCCCCAGCGAACAGGAATATAGCAGACCCTCGTCCTCACTGTTTGGTATGCCCCTCAATCAGAAGTGCTGTGCTGCGAGCGGTGCTTTAACACGCGCAGTGGAAGGGTTGCGAGTACTACGCCCAGTGGAAGGGGGGGGGGCGGATGTCGCCCCCCCCCCTAAGATCTCAGCTCCCACTGGAGCTAGAAAGACGAAATTTGGAGGGTAGGTGGGGGCCATGGGGAACTCTGTTGTGTGTGAATTTCATGACCCTAGGTCAATATCTTCAAGGTCAAATGAGGTCAAATGTGGTCAAATCTGCCATATTAGCGACTTTTTTTGCGTTTACACGCCGATAACTCAAAAAGTTACCGGCCGATTTTTTTAAAAACTTTCACTTTACGAAAGAGCAAACATTTGTGAGTATGTATGGTGAATTTCTAGATAATCCAACAATAAATGTGGCAGTTAGAAGCCTGCTAAGGGTAAGATGTCGCCGGCTGAAGCGGCGTCGGCCGACGCGGGAAACGCGGCAATCACAATTTTGTGTTTACACACTCATAACTCAAGTTGTTACCGGCCGATTTTCAAAATTCTTTGATCATATGATTGCCTGTACATTTCTCAGTCTTCTCACCGAATTTGACGCGAATCTAATATAATCAGCGGTAAGGAGCGCGATGTAAAGACGGAACCGTCCCGCCCCGGCACAGTCTACAATTCAGGCGGCGCGTAACGGCTAGCGCCGGCCGCCGCGCCGCCGCGCCGCCGCGGCGGCAGGATGTTTGACTTTACACCGCTATTACTAGAAAAGTTGTGAACCGATTTTCTTACTTCTTGCACGAGAAGATCCGCAATTCAATTCTGGACAGATAGCCGAAATTTCACATTGATATTATGCTTGCGGCGCGAGTTATTGGCGAAAAACAGGAGGGGTGGGCGAAATCCGCCCCCCCCCCTTCCACTGCGCGTGTTAACAGAACTTGACGTCTGTCTCCCGTTCTTCAACAGGCTCTGGAGCAGTTTCTCCATCTGATCCGCTCGGGAGTGGAACGGGAACGGAGAGGAAAGCACGGCGTCGAAAACCTGGCCAAGGCCATCCAGGAGACGCCGCACTTTGGCAGCGAGGGCTCCAAGAAGGATGTCCATGAGAAACTGCAGCACGTAGGTGGCGCCGCGACGTGGCCGCTTCGGGAACTAAATAGACGGGCGAGAGGCACACGGACATAGCGTGTTTACTGTTTCGTACATTTAGAAGTCCGTTTTTTTATACTGCTCCTACATGAAATCACTATACGTGTATGTGATGACATCAAGGTGATCAATCATCTCATGCATAAATATTTAAGTGTCATATGCACGTATAATGTCATTTTCATAGTAAGTATGTAATATCCATAGTAATAGGTCCAAAATCACGGTGCGAGCGACTTTAGCGAGTGTCATTTGAGCGAACGTCATTTGAGCGAACCATTTTCAGCGAATGGCAATTCAGCGATTATCAAGTTCATCGATTATCAAATACAGCGATTATCAATTTTAGCGAAAGCTATGTTTCGGCGACATATATTTCGTCGACTACAATTTGAGCGACTGTCAGTACAGCGAAACATTTCATCGTCCTGTAACGATGGATTTTTTTCTTTTGCGAGCGTATGCGTACGAATGTTTCCGGAATTTCTCATGGTTATCCGGTACTGGATGGCGGATGTCGCGCGTTCAAAGGTCAGGCATTGAGCTCCAATTTTAATGCTACATTTGTCAAAAATTCCAACGGTTCAATTTCACCCCCCCCCCCCCCAACCCACCCTGCTCTTTGTCAAAAATGGTGACCAAACGTTTGTTCAGAGATCAATATTGCTTGTGCTTTTTTCGCGAAATTGCCCCGCTTGAAGTTGGATCAGTTCCCCATGTTGTAAAATTTGTTCTTGCCCCAAGCGCCGTACGAACTTCCAGATATTTGGGTGAGGTCCCTGAAACATAGACTGGATTCCCCTGTGCCATCTCTCTAGTTTGTTATTGGTCCTTGGCATTCCTTCCGTCGCCCTATCTCTCACGTTCCACATTTTCAATTCAAATTTTGCCCGCCTCCTTCCCCTCCCATGCACCCCTTGTTGGTCATCCGATGTACATATGTTTCTTCAAAATTCAAATGATACGTAAAGAGGTGCAATAATTTCCGAAAAGTAGCAAATGATTGACTTTCGTCGCGTTCGGTCATTCGCTGTAACTGCATCGCTCAACTCAGGGCCTCCTCTAACATACCCACTGGGTGGGCAAATGCCCACCCAGTCACCGCAATTGCCCACCCAGTGGCGTCGATTTGCCCACCCAGAAGCAAATGCAAAAATTCTGGTCCGGCCGGACGTCCGGTAATACCTTTCTGGTCTTAACCCTCGCCCGCACATGCCATTTTCCTATCCTAGAACGCACATGGGGGGGGGGGGTGGTTGCCACCCCCCCCGCGCCATTTCGTTCCTGTTGGAGATAGAGCTTAGCAGTAAAGACCAAAAAGATTCTTTGGGAAGAGACGAATCCAATGATACCCAGTTTTACCTTCTCAGGTCAGTCATTGACCTTCCAGGTCAGGTCAAACTAAAAAATGTTGCTGTTTTGGGTCACCGTTGGATATCATGTGCGCTGTTTATCAAATACCGATGACGACGCTGTTTTCTGGTGCCAAGCCAGCTAGAACCTCTTTGTCACACTATCCGACCAGAATTTTGCTGCTGAGGTCATTTCAGGTCAAGTTAGGTCAAGGTCAATTATATGTGTTTGTATGTCTGTGTGTGTCTGTGTGTATACTGATGTGTGCACCGATTGTTTTTGGGTCCATATCACATGAAATCATGATCTGAGAAGCTTTTACCAAAAATGCAGTCAAAAAACTTCTTAAAAAGTAAATTCAGCTTGCCTAAAACGCAATTATCTTAGATGACCTAGGTTGACCTTGACCCTGACCTTGACCCTTGTACATCGTCGAACAACATGTTCCATGATAGGTGGGAGGTAAGACTGGCAAAAAAGGCCGAAATCAGGGTGTCAAAAGCTCACAAGGCCCATGGCAAACGCAAGATGTTGAGAATTGGCCATTTGGGTCATGACATGACCTGAAAAACAAGGTCATATCTCCGAAACCAAAAATCACAGAAACTTGAAATTTTCAGTGGACATCAAGAAAGGATAGACGAGCAGCTATACGAAAAATCAGCCTTCTAGCTCTAAAAATGTTGAAAGCAGAGCAGAAAGACTGCCTGGGGGGGGTGGCAACCACCCCCCCCCCCATGTGCGGGCGAGGGTTAAGCAAACTGGATGCTGTTTGAAGGTCAAAAAAAGTTTTCTGGTTGCCCGATATTCAGGGGCGTAGTCAGAATTTCCTCAAGGAGGGGGCCACACGCACAGGGGCCCAAAATAACCCCCTCAAAATCCAAAAAGCCATCTGGTTGGATCCAATAATTTTTGGAGGGGGCCCAAATAAATAGAAAAATATTTATAAACAAAAAATATTAGAACTGAGGGGTAAGCAGTCCATGGGCCCTGTTAGATAGGCCCACGAATAGCTTCCTAGAGTCGCCAGTCGGTTTTGAGGGCGGTCTGAGGGCCCGTAGGTCGGATGAGGGTTCTTCAGACCGTCACAGGCCCCTACAGCGCATGAGAGCCTCGTAAGCCGTCTGAGGGTCATATAAGCCGCCTAAGGGCCACTAAGACCGACAAAAGCCCTCCTTGCACTTGCAGAGGCCCAGTCATGCCGACGGAGGGCTCTCTCAGACAAACTAAGGACCCGTTCAGGGCATTTGAGGGCTTCATCAAACCGATAGGGGTCCCTCAGATCGACAGTGGATCCGATCCGAGCTCCCTCAAACCGATATAGGTTCAGATCAACAGTCGGAACGCATTGATTCTGTTTACACACCGTTGGACTCAAGTTGGACCCATCCCATCCAACTGACCCCCTGGTTTCAATAGGGCCCCAAGGCTCTAAAATTGGGGCTCTCTTGGCCAAGGTATAACTACTCAGCTGTGTCAAAGGATCTGCCGCAGGGGCCTTTGCGTCGCCAAGGGCCCACTGTGTCAGCCAGGGGCCCCTATAGAATAAGGACCCCTGGCTTCCAGGGGGGGAGGGCATGGTCCCTTTGGCCCCCTCCTTGGCTATGCCACTGCAGGTGACAAGCGTTCTTCCAGGCGACCAGGGGGCAGGGGCCAGGCGACCAGGCCCCCAGGCGACCAGGGGCCCTCTGGGCGACCAGGGGCCCCAGAAAACCGGGGGTCATCGGATGAGTGCAGGGGCCCATTGGGCCATCAGAGGGCCACATAAATGAAACTTCGATATCAATTTTCTTCCGAGTAAAAGACGTTTTATCCAGTGTTTGAAAAAAATATCCCGGGGCCTGGGGGGCTCCCCCATGGCGCGTTTTGCGCTCAAGGGAGGGGGCCATTGCCCCGTGGCCCCTCCCCCTTGGCTACGCCCCTGCCGATATTGTAATTCATGGACAAAGCCAGCTAAATCTCTAAATACGGCTGAGCTAAACAAATAAGCAAGAATCATTACCGGTTCGGGTAGCCTTTACTACAATGTATTATGTTAGTTAGCCCTCGCCCGGTGAGGGGGGTTGATGCACCCCCCTAAGGTTTTTCCACAAATAACGTAAAAACGGCGGCGCTCAAATTTGGCATACCCTCTGGGGCAACCTTTTGGCACTTGTCCTGAAAATTTCAGATCTCTAGTCTTTTCAGGTCAGGTCACCAGGTCACAAACCCCGTACAAGGTCAGGGGAAAATTGGACTAGTTTAGCGGCAACCGAATGCCAGAGTTTTTCGTTGATAGCGTGAGTTCTATAGCTCGTAGCACTACCAAATTTAACCCTCGCCCGCACATGCCATTTTCCCATCCTAGAACGCACATGGGGGGGGGGGGGGTTGCCACCCCCCGCGCCATTTCGTTCCTGTTGGAGATAGAGCTTAGCGGTAAGGACCAAAAAGATTTTTTGGGAAGAGACGAATCCAATGATACCCAGTTTTACCTTCTCAGGTCAGTCATTGACCTTCCAGGTCAGTTCAAACTAAAAAATGTTGCTGTTTTGGGTCACCGTTGAATATCAAGTGCGCTGCTTATCATATACCGATGACGATGCCGTTTTCTGGTGCCAAGCCAGCTAGAACCTCTTTGTCACACTACCCGACCAGGTTTTTGCTGCTGAGGTCATGTCAGGTCAAGTTAGGTCAAGGTCAATTATATGTGTTTGTATGTCTGTGTGTGTCTGTGTGTACACTGATGTGTGCACCGATTGGTTATGTGTCCATATTACATGAAATCATGATCTGAGAAGCTTTTACCAAAAATGCAGTCAAAAAAACTTCACAAAAAGTAAATTCCGCTTGCCTAAAGCGCGATTATCTTAGATGACCTAGGTTGACCTTGACCTTGACCTTGACATCTGTACATCGTCGAACAACATGTTCCATGATAGGTGGGAGCACAGATAACAGTAGTACTGGATTGGAAACAGGATTCCGGTAGCTGCAGTAAGAGGCCGAAAACAGAACCGAATATTTCGTGCCCAGACTTCGATATCTTCTCACACAGGCAAAAAAAAAAATGGTTTATGTGAATGAAACTTATAAAGAAGCAATCTAGCCGTGCTCGTGTTTATTGCTGCATTTTTGCATGGCAACTTATTTTACTAAACGCTGCTGGTTACACTTTCCTCACCGTGGTGAGGGAACGTATGCCACTGATTTGATTATAATGATTTCCCACTCTCATCCACAAAAAGTACTTGTACATGGGAGTTTGATCTCTTTATTTACATGCTAATCGACACCAGTCCTGTCACAACGAACCATCCAAACGTCACAATTCAAACCAACGTCACAAAAGACCCCTTCAAGTGTCACTTCGCTTCGCCTGCCCTCCCAATTTCATCAGCGACCTTACTTCCCCGCCTTACATCTTCTTGACCCTGCTGAGCTTTGGCCTCTTGTCGCTCCTCGATCGGGTTGCACCTGGGGTGCAACCCGATTGCCGCCGGGGTGTCTGCTTCCTGACTTTCGATGGACAGCACTGTCTTGAGTGTCTGCCTCACTTATCAGTTACCATGTTTCCACACTTTCCAGCAAATAGATTGAAAACCGTCGCATACATCTCTGGAAGGAGGCTCCTAAGGACGTCGTGGCTATCATTGCAAACGACTTCCGGTCAATTCGACATCCCGGTTTACGACTATCTTCGTCACTTCTTGGTTGATCGCAGACCGGCAGCTGGTTCCTGTTAGCTTTCGTCTTCGGCAGTTGCCTCCAAATATGGCAGATCCTCACGGTGAGGTCGATGTCTTCCTCGTCTTTCTCCAGTCGTATCTCCAGCGGCGTAGCCCCAAGATAGATCAGCAGGCTGGCGGAGGCACCGTACTTGTTACGCCTGGTGGCCGAGCGTGCCAAGGCGCCAGAGCTGTGTCCCAGGGAGGCCTTGGCGCTGTCATCCAGGTCCTCCATTTCAGTGGATTTCGCCACCGCGGCCACTGGCTCCTGGATGAAAAGAGCACCACCCTGCTGTCACTCCTGCTGTGATGCTGATGGTGCCATTCGGGCGGAGGCGTCGACGGGGCTGAAACGTGACCAGTGACCACCATCTGAGGCCCTTAGTTCGACTTCGGAGTACCGCCTCATTCTCCAGGAACTGTCGGACACTCGACCAGTTGTAGTTGCCACCTGATAGCTGACATTGTCATTCGTGAAGAACGCATCGGTCTGGTCCTTCATAACCTGCTTCTGGTGTGAGTGGCGTGCGGATGCCATGGCTAGTTTCGCTGGCCGCTCGTGCACAGGGGGCATCGCGTAATCTACGCTGGTCAATGCTGACAGGACTGCGCCGCTCTTGAGCCGACGGTGCTGTCTCTGCATGCCGGTGCGAAATGACCGATCATCTTCGAAATCTTCCTTTCTGAAATGTAGCTCACACATGCAGCGGAATAGTCCTGATTTCACTCAGCCCGGTCACGGTGACCCATGGCGCCAACCCACTGAGCCCGTAGAGATGTTTCGGTGAGAAAAGCGAATAGGTGGCATGTGAGACATCTCCTGTTTTAATCTTTTTATCCTCTTGGTTCGTTGGGTTGTAGCCAGAACGGCAGTTTTTCACCGCTCATTCCCCTCCTCCATTGTTGGTGTACCTATACGTATGTAAGGCTTTGCACCACACTTTGTTTTCAAAAGAAAACACCACGCATTGTGCCCTCTAAATAATCAAATTAAAAGTGAAATACTTTAATTTTTTAAGCAAATGAAAGAAACATTGGTAGCTTCGATTTTAAATGTAAACGACAAAACACAAAAATGACGATTTCTTGCAATACACAACACACAAATTATCAACCCAGCAGCACGCGAGAATCCCATTTTGGCGCCGTCGCATAAAAACATTCGGCCTCTTACTGCAACTGCCAATATTCTGTTTCCAATCCAGGGGAAGACTGGATTGGGGACTGGGAGGTAAGACTGGGAGGTAGACTGGGAGGAAGACTGGGAGGTAAGACTGGCAAAAAAGGCCGAAATCAAGGTGTCAAAAGCTCACAAGGCCCATAGCCAACGCAAGATGTTGAGAATTGACCATTTGGGTCATGACATGACCTGAAAAACAAGGTCATATCTCCGAAACCAAAAATCACAGAAACTTGAAATTTTCAGTGGACGTCAAGAAAGGATAGAGGAGCAGCTATACGAAAAATCAGGCTTCTAGCTCTAAAAATGTTGAGTGCAGAGCAGAAAGACTACCTGGGGGGGGTGGCAACCCCCCCATGTGCGGGCGAGGGTTAAGACACGACTTGGAGCATCTGTTTGTCACTTGGCCTTGGAGTTTTAGGTTCCAGTGACCCGAGGCCAGGTCACAAGGTCACAAAAACTGGTACATTGTCAAAATAGCAAGAATACCGAATAAGAATACCTAGCACGCAGTTTGCGGAGGGCTGTACATGTAACTCTGGAACGAATCGCTCGAGCATCGCTAACCATAAAACATACGACAAACGTTAACTTTGCAAACTATCATCTTATTTCCAATAACGGCACTGCTTATTTCGCCTCACCCCCGCCCCCCCCCCCCCCCCCCCCGGTAACAGGTTTTGAAATTGGTTGAACCCCAAAACAGTGGCTGGATTCGCCCTTGGGCAGGGGAGTAGTGAAAATTCTGCCCACCCAGTGAAAAATCCTTAGAGGAGGCCCTGGCTCAACTGGTCTCCCACTGACCACCATATGTTCGCTCAATCTGGTTTCGCTGATTCTGGTCCTCGCTAAAGTTGATAATCGCTGTGATTGAATTCGCCGACTTGACAATCGTTGAAAAAGCCAATCGCTTAAATTGATAATCGCTGAAAATGTTTCGCTCAAATGTCGTTCGCTGAAATGACGTTCGCTCAGGTGTCGCAGAACCCCAAAATCACCAAAACCGCCGTTGCCTGTCCACTGTTCGTGCTCAGTACCTACCTTGTCGCAATGTGTCCGGTCTTTTCTACCTCTCAGTCTCACGATCCCCTCTCCCCCTTCAGACTCGGGCGCTGCTCGCCTACCTGGAGGCGAGTCGGTACAAACTGCAGGTGGCGCTGGCGGAGCTCGAGGGGCAGCCGAGGCCTCAGCACCCGCTCCGGAAGCACATCGAGTACCACAAGGATCGCCAGGGCATGACGCAAACCATACTCAAGGTGGGCGCTCTGACACGGGCGTTGGGCATTGATGCTGTTAAATCAGGGCATATGAGAACACTTAGGTATGGGGCATTCCACGTCAAATCGAACAAAAATCGGCTGTTTTGCACCTTACCATCAGCGATTTCATTATAAATTTGTGAGCGAGTTCCTGTGTCGCCCCGGACATTACATTGATGTTTTTTGCACATTCTGACCACAGGTCTTCTAAATATAGGGCATCAAATTTTTACAAAATGTTGCATCTTTATATTTTTGAACGACCATAACTTTGGTTGTACTTGTTTGATTTGAATGAAATAAACCTTACTGTTTAGGTAATTTCTTAAGCATTTGTTTAGAATTGCATCGACTTAAATATATGACCTTGAAATTTGCTTAACTCTGTTCTTAAGCACAAAAATTGAAATAGAAAAAAACACGCCACCTTCGATTTGGCTCATTTTCATATATTTTATTGCCTACCATATTCTTAACAACCTGTGAAAAAATTAGAGTGGGCCATTCATAAGTTTTGAAGAAAATGGCACATATGCAAACGTATGTTAGCACGCGCAGTGGAGGGGGAAGAGTGAATTTCACCCCACCCCTCCTGCTTTTCGCCAATATCTCATAATATTGATGCGAAATTACTTATGGCTACCTGTCCAGAATTGAATTGCACATCTCATCGTGCAAGCAATAAGAAAATCGGTTCACAACTGTTCTAGTAATAGCGGTGTAAAGTGAACATCCTGTCGCCGCGGCGACGCGGCGACTCGGCAGCCGGCGCGGCGCCGACCGCTACGCGCCGCCTGAATTGTAGACTGTGCCGGGACGGGACGGAACGGTTCCGTCTTTACATCGCGCTCCTTACCGTTGATTACGTTCGATTCGCGTCAAATTTTGTGAGAAGACTAAGAAATGTACAGGCAATCTTATGGTGAAAGAATTCTGAAAATAGGTTGGTAAACTGTTAGGTGCCCAACTCTATTGATCTAGTCTTCCTCCGAAAGACCCATTTCTCCCGGTCTCGAAACACCGAGTAAAAGGTAAGTCTGGATTTCAGAAATAGGTCATTGACACGCCACACGTGGTACACAGCGCGAACACATAATCAAGGACACCCGACGCTACTTGCACCAAGGTCGGTCCTAAAACAAAGCCTCGTTCCCTCCGGTGAGTATCCATTACTAAAGCCGGGTTCACACCGGAGCAGGGAAAACCTATCATCCCCCACCCCTTTTAACAACGGTCCTCGGGGCAGTCAGACGATCACATTCACCCTTGCCGTCAGCAAACGAGGTAACACATAACCAATCACCACAGACACCCTCAAGTCAGATTACACATAACGACGATTTCTCTGCACCGGACGTCCCGACCGAGTTCGCTGAGGCAAGAAGGCCAAGGGAGAATCACGATCGTTCGTCAGACGGGGATCCGGTCCACCTCTACCGTCTCGAACTTCATTGTCTTCGCGACATTCGCCGGCGAACTCGTCAATCTCGTCGACGGACTCGTCGACCTCGTCGATGTTGAGCCAGTCCTCACCGGGCTCTTGAGCGAGGTCTCCATCAGAGTCACAGGTGAGTGCGTCCTCACGCTCACTGATCTCAGCCGATCCTCGCCACGGGCGGAGATGACAGCCGTGAATGGTGTAGGCTTTTCCCTCACGTTGTATGACGTAGTCCGGACGCCGGGTCTCCAAGACCTCGTAAGGCCCTTCGTATAACTCCTCCAGTTTTCCCCCTTTTCGAAGCCGCTTCATCATCACCATTGACCCCGGCTCGAAACCGCTTCCTGAGGGAGGTACCCGACGGCCGTCCAGGTCCCGCTGTAGTGTTTCCAGCGCTCGAGCTGAATTTTTCTGTACATCACGGTGGATGTCTCGGGCTACCTGCACGTACGACCTGAAACGATGGCCTTCCTCCGCGCCTGCTCCTTGGAGTTCATGCACCGCCATCCCGTCCGGCTGCGACCCAAACATCAGCTCGTAGGGTGTGAACCCCGTCGCAGCGTGTACGGAGCTGTTGTACGCAGATGCTGCCCACGGGAGCGCCTCGTCCCATTGTCCATCGCAACGTGTCCTCAAGATTTCGCACAGAGTGGCGTTAAAGCGTTCCGTTTGCCCGTTCCCAGCTGGGTGATAAGGCGTCGTCCTCAGCTTTGTCACTCCCAGCACGCGGCACAACTCTCTCACGAGCTCACTCTCAAAATTGGCTCCTTGGTCCGTTAGAAGCTCGCTGCACTGAGGGAATCTTGTGAAGACCTTCGCGATCTTCCTCGCCACTGTAGCGGCTGTGGTGTCCGTGAGTGCGAAGATTTCCACCCACTTGGTGAAAAGGTCAGTGACTACAAGCACGTACCTCCTTCCCCGAATGGTTGTGTTCAAAGGGCCCAAGATGTCTGCCCCCCACTGAGATCCGGGTTTTCCGACCACTGGTACAGAACCACGGCCTTCACAGTGGTGTTGTCGCTGGATCTTGTTACGAGCACACTTCAAACAGCTTCTGCACCAGTTCCGAACATCCTTCTTGACATTGTGCCAATAGTAGTTCTTCGTGAGCCGCGCCAATGTTCGTCGAACTCCCAAGTGTCCCGCGGTAGGGTGGTCATGGCACATCTCCAGTACACGATTTCTCAGCTGTCTCGGCACCACAACCTGCGGCACCGCGCCATGACTCGATTTCCTCATCACGACACCATCAGATACGTAGTACTTGGACTTCTCCGACGCATAGAACTGCATCTCTGCACTGGAGGTCGTTCCAGGGCCTCCACGTAGCAGCCCATCTCTGAAAGCACGTATGTCGTCATCTGCTTCGGTAGCAACCTTCAGCGCGTCAGACTCAAACGCCAGTCTTCTTATCGGCTTTCGTGAGAGCGCATCTGCATGGGGAATTTCTTGCCCCGGTCGGTACTTGATGTCGAAGTCGTAGTCCTCCGCGAGTTCCAGCAACTTGTCCCGCAGATGTTCCGCCGCGTTCCTCTTCCTGAGCAGATACTGAAGCGGCTTATGGTCGGACACCACCAGGAAGTGGGCTCCCTTCAAGAAGAACCTGAATTTCTTCACGCCAAAGATCACCGCGGCCAACTCCTTCTCCGTCACGCTCTTCTTGGCTTCGGCCACACTCCATCTCTTCGATGCATACGCCACCGGCTTCCATCATTCTCCAAGACGACTCCGCACCCCACGTCTGAGGCGTCCGTTGTCACCACAAACGGTTTGGTAGGGTCTGCCTCCGCGAGGACGGGTGGACTTGCCAGAGCCGTTTTCAGTGCCTCGAACGCTTGATCCTGCTGCTTTCCCCAGATGAACGGTGCATTCTTCTTCAGAAGGTCAGTGAGCGGCGCCGCCAGTTCAGCATAATGTGGTACGAACTGCCTGTAGAAGCCTGCTAGCCCTAGGAACTGTCGTACTTCCACCGTCGATGTCGGCTCAGGCCATGTCGTGATGTCTTCCACCTTGTCAACCAGCGTTGAGACCTTTCCGTGGCTGACCTCGTGTCCCAGGCACTTGATTGTCTTCTTGGCGAATTCGCATTTCTCAAACCGCAGACGAACTCCAGCATCTTGAAGGCGATGAAGCACTTCCCCCACTTGCTGCATGTGCACATCCAGGTTGTCTTCAGTGGTGAACACGCACACATCATCGGCATACGCTGTCACATAGGGCAGTCCCGACAGGATGTCATCCAGCGCCCGTTGGAAGACAGCTCCCGAGTTCTTCATTCCCATCGGCAAGACTGTCCACTGGAAGAGACCTTGATCCGTTATGAAGGCTGTCTTGTGCTTCGTTGACTCGTCCAGCTTGATCTGCCAGTACGCAGTCCGGAGGTCCAACTTCGTGAACCATGTTCCTGTTCGCAACTTCACCATGATGTTGCTCAACGACGGTACTGGGTACGGATCCTTCTCCATCTGGTCGTTGAGTGCTTGGTAGTTCACACAGATACGTAGAGTATCATCAGGTTTCTTTACCACCACCATTGGACTCGCGTAACTTGACTCACTCTTCTCAATGACGCCCCTTTCACACAGGTCATTCAGCTGCTTTCTCACAGCTTCTTGTTGATGCAGTGGCACACGATACGGTTTACTCACGACTGGACGACCACTCGTCTCAATCCGGTGTGTTACGCCCTTTATGCATCCATGAGCATCTTCTTCATTGAATAGAGTTTGGAACTTCCCTCTGAAGTCGTCAGAGACTCGTCTGGTCTTCACCTGTCCCCTTCGGCACTCGATCAGCACTCCGAGCTCCCCGAGTGTATCCAGACCCAAGATGACATCATCAGTCAACTCGGAGACGATGAAGAACTCTGCGTGCACTGTACTGTCATTCATCATGATGTCTGCTACACCAACTCCTTCGATTTGCACTTCCTCTCCGACAGCAGTAACCAGTGGTGGTGTCTGCTTTGCTACGACGTTCAATGCTACTTGTTGGGCAACCTCTGGCTTCATGAGGTTGTGCTGGCTCCCTGTGTCTACCACAACATCAACTTCTCTTCCATTGATCTGGACCTGCATCCTCACTTCTCTGTTCCCATTCACTCTCTTCACAGCACCAGCTTTCTTTTCCTTCACTTCGTTCGCTCTACACTTAGACTCGATGTGGCCTCTTTTGCCACACTTAGAACACTGAGCTCTGCAATCCTTTATAAAGTGACCTGTTTTCCCACATCCATAACAGGTTATTGGAGTGGCTCCCCGATTCAGACCACTTCTGGCACCCCGGTAGCTGCCACTCACACGTGAGACACTTTCCCTACCCACAGAGGGTGGTGCTCTCTCAGACAGTCTCAGAGTTGTCATCTTCTTCACCAAGGATTCGACAGTCTGACAGTTAGCTTCAAACAGCCTTTGTCGCCAATGGTCTGGTGCCCCTTTTATTGCTTGATGGATGGACATCTGATCCCAGGTCTCAGTGCTGGCCTCTGGTATGGCCCTCTGTACCTTGTCACGTACATGCTGCAGGTACTCACGTGGACTCTGGTTCCTTGCCAGACGAAGCTCATCAAGATCTCGCAGCAGAAAACCCTTGAGATTTTCTGGTTCCAGCAACTGTACCACACCCCTCTCAATGTCCTGCAGTGATGGCACATTGTCTTCCGCTTTTGGCACCTTTTCTTCAAGAGCTGTTGCTATCCACTCAGTTTTCTCATTCGCCCCAATGGCATACACACATAGATCATACACCTCGTCTGGGGTTTTCTTTTCTACCTTCATTCTCCTCTCTATCTGCCTAAAGAAACGCTTATAATCCTGAGGATCAAATGTTGGAAGTGGCAATCCCATACTCGCCATGGTTACCAACTCTAAACTATCTTAAATCCAAAATCACACAGCAATGACAACGCCGTACACCTAGTACACATACAAACTCACTTAGCGTACTCACGTCAGGTACTCGTCTCACACAGAAACACTCACAGGGATCACTGGTCTCACTTAGTCCTTGCAAGTGATCACCACAAAGAACATAGTTGCTTCACATAGGCTGTCTCGGACCCAAACTTCACACAGATGTATCTTGGGCAATGTCAGCTTTCACTGAAAATCCAACCGACTTTCCGCAGGCCTTGCAGTTCTAACCCGACTCTGAAGGTAGGTGCTGTTGGCTGATTTTTCACTTAGCATTTACCAACCACATTACAGCAATGTCCCATGACGTGCTTCACACAGTATTCAATGTCCTCCTTTTGGTCACACAAAGCACCAGGTTTTTCACAAAGTCACAAAGTCAGATATTGGCACCTGTCGGCTGTCACCAAGACAAATTGGCTTCACCAAGGACTTCACAAGCACATAGCCTTTCATTTGCCAATTGCCACCAAGGCACGCCGGCTTCACAAAGCATCACAGGCAATAATCTTGCATCATGCCTGCGCCACGTTTGCCGCAGTTCGAGCGCCCCACGAACGTGCGAGCCTCTGCATTCTTGTAAGTTACCATCCCACCGCTGAGATGTTAGGTGCCCAACTCTATTGATCTAGTCTTCCTCCGAAAGACCCATTTCTCCCGGTCTCGAAACACCGAGTAAAAGGTAAGTCTGGATTTCAGAAATAGGTCATTGACACGCCACACGTGGTACACAGCGCGAACACATAATCAAGGACACCCGACGCTACTTGCACCAAGGTCGGTCCTAAAACAAAGCCTCGTTCCCTCCGGTGAGTATCCATTACTAAAGCCGGGTTCACACCGGAGCAGGGAAAACCTATCATAAACAATTGAAATATGAACGTGTAAACACAAAATTGTGACTGCTGCGTTTCCCGCGTCGGCCGATCCCGCCTCAGCCGGCGACATGTTACTCTTAGCAGGACTCTAACTGCCATATTTATTATCGGATTAACTAGAAATTCCCCATACATACTCAAAAATGTATGTTCTTTCGTATAGTGAAGATCAAAAGACGTGAAGATATCGTTGCGTGATAATGTTTTCGTTGAATTTATTTCATGATGCATTTCCACACGGCTCAAAATTCACCGCAAAATACCGTTTGCCTGAGACACTTTTACAATGGAACGTGAATGCTTGACTACGATGACTATGCATTTCCATTCTCGCAGAGTTTGGGATATCACTAATCAGCAATAATTCATTTCAGAAAGTGTACACAAGCAAGCATGTCTTGACTCTGTCTTTCAAGGTCACGCGCGGTTGCGTGATGTTGATGCATAAAAACGGCGTTTGCCGCGAAAGTTATGAATGGCCCACTCCAATTTTTTCACAGATGGTTAGGAACATTGTGACGCACATAATATGTAAAAATTACTCAAATCGAAGGTGGCGTGTTTTTTGCTATTTAAATTTTTCTGTTTTAATTCAAGGTCAAATGCATTTCAAGGTCACTTCAATTTAATTTTATAATTAAAAATCAAAGCCTTATCAATTGCCTACAAGACCCTGTTAATATCATTTTGATACCAGAAAAGGAACCAGATTTATAAGCATTTAAAAAAATGATGTGTGGCATTTTTGGCTATATTCGATGACCTATATCTCGGCGATACGTTATCAAATTTCGAAAATATTACACGTAACTCAGTTTTGAACCATGCCCAGTCTGCCTACAAATTTTCAGAAAAATCGAAGGGGATGACGGATTTCGGTGTTTGATTTGACGTGGAATGCCCCGTATGTTATTAGCAGAAGACTTTGCAATCAGTCGATTTTCATATGAGGGTTTTCTTTGCCATCTTTGCCTTGAGCCAGTTCTCTAGTTCAGCATTACGATGAAAGCATAAAAGACTAGCGAACACCAGCGTATTACGGCCTCTCCCGCCACCCACTGCAGTTTGCTGACCCGCTGCTGCCCTATCTATCCCCCAGGTGCCAGCGTGGGTGGCGCTCGAGCCCTTGGATCTCTCGCCAGAGAGCTCTCCCACGTGGGCGGCCGACCGAGGCAAGGCCGACGGCACCTCCCACCAGCCCGACTCGGACTTCGGTACGATCGCAGCGACATCTATTTAGGGGGCTGCATCGCCATCTGTTCGACAGCAGACGTATTCTAGTTTTACCCGTTTTACCCAACCCGATAATAGTGACTCGTGGGGGCAGAGTAGAGCAACGTGCTCATATTATTGCTGTTAATTTCCTTGAGGTGATAAAGATACGATATTATAGATACGCTTTTGGAAATGGTATCTCAACTTGCCTCCTCACTTCCTCAGTTTTTAAGAACTTGCCCCTCCCTCTCATGCATTTCACAAAAGTCATTCCCGAACATCAGTTAGTTACCCGAGCATCATCTCTCCCTGATATAGGCTGTCTCATTTCTCACCCCCCCCCCCCTCCAACAGACGAGTTCAGCAGTCAGGGTGACGAGCGCGACTACCAGTCGGCGGTGACGGGCGGCGGGCCGGCGCCGGACGGCGGCGCCTCTCCGCCCGCCGACAGCGGCGGCGGCAGCGCCAGCAGCGACCAGCTCACCGTATCGCCGTCGCCGGTCGAGCCGGGCCTGGCGCCGGCCGTCGGCAGGTGTAAGGTCCAGTACGACTACACGGCCAACATGTACGACGAGCTCACCATCAAGGCCGGTAAGTGCTGGGTTGTTGTCGGGGGCGGGTGGTAAAGAGGGTATGATGGAGTCGTTGGTCGAGGGCATCGTCAAGCATCAAGGGTAGCTGGAAATGCATTTGTGCTTTGTGTTGAGTGCTAGTAAGCCAGGCCATCACGGGCTGGATGGGGAGGGCGTCATTATTGCGTTGATGATAGTGCGATAAGTTACACAGTCCCTCCTAGCCAGGCAACTCGATATCGGGTCGGCAGAAACAATGCATCCAGCATGACAATGCATTGGCTATTCGACTCGGACTGACTTATACGCTTCATCTACACACTTCTTAAGCTTCTTTAGAATCGAGCTCGTTGTCGCCACAGCTAACCGCCCTCTACCCTCTTCCAGGTGACCTGATCAACATCCACGACAAACAGGAGGACGGCTGGTGGTTGGGCGAGCTGAACGGCACGGTCGGCATCTTCCCGGCCACCTACGTCCTAGAACTCAGCGGGTCGTGATTCGTGACTCGTGACACTCAGCGTACTTCGTGATTCGTGAAATATGGCGTGATCCGTGACGTGTGGCGCAGTGTGGTCCGTTATACATGACCTGCCCGTGATTCGTGAGTCGTGATTCACGGCATGATCCGTTATACAGGGCCGTGATTCGTTATTAGAGACGTGACCCGTGACTCGGCATTCACGGCACAGTCCGTGAATTACAATGTGCTGCCAGAGGTTCACGACGGGATACATACCCGTGAAATGGTTGATTCATGGCCTGTGATCCGTGACTCGTAAGTTTCGTGACTCATGTTCCGTGACCCGTGTGTTTAGATAGCCGTGACTCGTGAATTGACGCGTTTTACGCGACCGTGAGTCTTCCTTGAGCGGCGTGCCGCGGCCGCCGAGTCACCGCCGAGACCGTCCACACTGTCTCGGCATGTGCCGCCGGCCGTGACGTGACCGTAACGTCACCGGGACGTGACCGTTAGGTCACCGTGGCATGCCGTGACGCGTCTACAGACGAGACGCTACCGGACTCGGGGGCGTCACGAAGTCGGATCGCTCCACAGAGCCACCGCGTGTCGTCGGTTCGCGCACGGATCCCGCGGTTAAAAACGCTCTCTGACGGATGATATGACGTTAAGTGACGTGGATCGCAGCGACATCAGGGTGACGTGAAACGCCGTGACATCAGTGACGTAGAGTGACGTCGGGTGCGTGGAGTGCAGTGAAACCGGGAGCGCGCCGCTCCGTCGAGGGCAGAACGTTTTACACGGTGATAATGTAGTATATGAAGTGAAGCGCCGACTGCCCCTGTCGGACATGCTTACAGAGAAATTGCGGGGACTGTGCAGTGTGCAAACCATGTTACGCTAGGTCATGTTGTTTATTAAAACTAACCGCGCGCGTGCGTATCGCTTCATCCATGTTATAGTGACCATTTGCATATGCTAAACAGAGTACGAGTGTTTTGTACAGACAATATACAGTATTGAATTAACTGTTTGTCTTACTCTAGGCAATCTCCAGGCTAGTCTCTAGCCAAGACAGTCCTACGAAGAAAACTATCATCGCTAAGCAAGCTATACACAAGTGCAGTGAAACATAAGCGCACAGATCTCACGTCCACAAAGTCCACAAAGTCTGGCCTCAGACTTCCACACATGATACAATCCAACGGTTCATCCGTCAGTGGCGACTTTCCGCTCACTCCCTCGGCCCCTGTCCCCCATTCACGGACCTCAGACGCGAGCAGGGGCGGCAGCAGGGGCGGCAGGGGCGGCGGCGGATGCGGCTTTGGCGGCGGCACGACGCTCGCGTTTCTCGGCTTGTTGGCGGGCCAGCGCCTGGAACCGTGATCGAAGCCGCACCATGCAGAGCGCCAGGTTGCCGCTCTCGTCTAGCTCCGTCTGGATGTCTGAGATGTCGCCCAATGACGGCTTTGTGGTGCCCACTGCGGGAGAGAGGGGGGTGTCAGAGTGGAGAGAGTGGGAAGGGGAACGGAGACCGGCTACTGACCTGTGGTTAAATCCACGGTGACTATAAATAGTTAAATCGACCTGGATCTGGGAAGGTAGATTGCCTGATTGTCGTCCCTGATTGTCTGGACGACAATCAGGCAGGGATTCTGGTCACACTTCATTTAAACTTGTGATCCGTGTAGCACGGGTTGAAAAACACCATTTAGCGCGGAGGGAGGACGTAACGGAAGTCGTGACGGCCTATGACAGAGCCGTGACGGCCTGACGTGACGGTCACGGAAGAAGGGGAAAATGACAAGCGTGGGGTGAAACGTAACGTGACGAGGTGACACTGAGGGTCCTCGAGGCCTTTCGAATGGCAAATTGAAGTTGTTTACGAAAAACGTCCTCCGGGCCGGATTTGAACCAGCGACCTATGGATGTCTGACGAGAACCGCTACAGTCCACCGCTCTACCAACTGAGCTACCAGAGGAACCGACGTTACGGGCATTGGTGGAGGGCTATAATGTACTTCCAATGTTGCTACGAACGAATCGTCCTACGACATATCATTTCGGACAACTTTACACACACACCCCCCCCCCCCCAGCCCCCGCATTTCATAGTCTAGCCCAGTATGGATTCACTTAGATCTCATATCAGTAAGCTTTTAACATGTATTACTATTATGCATTACGTGGGTGGACAAATAACCATGGTGAGAACAGGGACGTAGCCAGGGGGGCTGAAGAAATGCCATACGAAGATTTGTCCTGGAATCAGTTATAATACATCAGCATCGTGATCTTCGCCCAAATGACTCGCTTCACGAATAGGACCCCCAATTCCCAGTGCTCTGGAGCCGCCCCTAGTAAAGTTATGAACTTGAAATTTTCGGGGAATGTGCCCAATTAGGAAAAGTCAGAAAATTTCAGCATCGTAGCTTCAGCGGTTTCGGAGATATTCCCGAAAACCTGAGGGGTGGATGAAAACAACCCCCCTGCCACTAATAGGGTTAAGGCGAAAAAATAAAATTTAATAAAAATAAAAATTAATAACGACAGGTGCACCACACCCTCAAAAATAGTGGGCCAAATCCAAGGAGTTTTCCTTTCTTGAAGGGGTACGACACTAGGCCGCGACCTGTGGCTCCTCCTGAGCAACATCCTGGCTACATGCCTGGGTGAGAACTGAGAAGCTACCAAACAAAGGCGCAGGACGATGTCCGTAATTTTACACCAAGCATTTCACGAGACTCTATGCTCAGCACCGCTGCTCCCTCCCCATGCCCACCACCAGATAGCCCCTCCACCCGCTGCGGCCTGTGTCGTGCGTATACGCCCGCCGCTGGGACCACTCACGTGTCACTTTGGTGCCGCTGAACATGAAGCGTACGTGGAACGGCCGCTCTGGGTCGCTCTCGACGACCCGGGTCAGTGTGATGACTCGGCTCACAGCGCCCGGCTCCGTGGCCTTCTTACTATCCTTCAGCACCTGGAGAATACACAAACACAGTCACCGTGTGAGACAGGGAGCGAGCGATCCAAGACCTTAAATTTTTTAGTTTCCTTGGAATCGAAGGTAAGCAGAGCCCAAATATGACAAACACAGCTTCCACTTGTCCGCTGGAGGGTCCTCAGAACACTAGGGATCAGTGCGGAACATCGCTCTGTGGCTCACTCACCTCAATGCCCATGTAGGTCTTCAGCATGCCGGTGGCCTTGCGGTAGTTCTCCGTCTTGACTTCGAGCTCTGCTTGGGCCGACGCCGCCGCTGCGGGGAAGGATAACGCCACAGTGTGTGAGACATCAGACACCGGCGGGCCCCGACAGCCGAGCCGACGGAAACCTTCTCTAGACGGTTTACCCCGCGACCAGATAATTGAGCCGACGACCTCAGACAGTCAAGCTAGCGGCCTTAGAAGGTTTCTGGACTTAAACGCAATAGCAGATAACTTAACCAGTGACCCCTGTTATAATTGCCAAAACACACTGATGATATACATTATACCTACACCTAAAGCAGGAGCATAATTTTATATCTTGTTTTGATTAGTTCATCAGTCGCGACTCGCGATCATTTATGAGCATTTATGAAATGATCGCGACTCGCGATCATTTATGCGAATAGGTCACACAATGATAAAATGGAAAACAATGACCGGAAATATTGCGCCCTAAGCATTCAGCAGAGACAACCGAGTCTCAGTAGCGACTCCCCAGTCCCCACCTCTGCGGAACTGATCCAGCTGCTCGGCGACGGCCTCCTTCCTATCCTCCATGTCCGCCAGCTCCTGCTCGGCCTTCCGCCACTCGTGTCTGGCACGGCGAGCCTCCGCCTCAACCCGCTGCAGCTGCTGGTAATGCTCCACCTGCTTGGTGAACTCCAGCAGGGCGTCGTTCAGCGCTATCTGACGCCTATCCAGATGTGCCGTCATCTTCTCCAGCACCAGTTCTGTGGAAATACAAATTGAGATCAGTGCCGGTGTGTGACTATATATCAGCCACTGACTTGGGTGGAAATCACTTGAAGTGATTAAGCTCATTTGACACTTTAATTTGGTATGTAATTGTTTCTGTCCGCACCAAGTAAGGACTTGGTTGCCATCTCGTTAGTGTGTCAGTCTTGAACAGTTAATCAAATTACAATTAGGTGGGCAAGCTTACTGTTTCACCAAGGTCTAGCATAGGTGAGAAGCAAGGCAAACCTACTTGTGAAGGATTCCTCACTTTAAAGGAAAGTGTGTTCCTGCAACAAACTAATGTAGTTTAAATTGAGTTTTGCAACATCAGTCATCATCCTGGCCTCTATGTATTTCATGGTAGTGGCACACAGCCAGCCGCAGCTACCAGAAAATGGCCTTTGGTTTCCCTCGAAACAAAAAAAAAGTATTATGCTGTGTTTCTACAGAAACCAAGAGCCAGAATAAATACCTAAGAATAGGAAGGTAGTTAAGTACCACCTGGAGCAATGTTTATGTGCCATGAAAGGGCCCAGGACCCAGCAGAACCTGAACACACAGAATCCAATGGTTAGCTTTGGCAGCTGATAGACACGGGTTGCATCAGTCTAGTAAAAAAAGATTACTCAGTCTGAGCTATCACTCATCATTTGTGATTTGCGAATCATTGGTCTCGTCTTGATACAACACTGACACGTTTTGAATGAGCAGTGAATATGTCTAGGAAACTTGCCATACGCTAGCAGAGAGCAAATTAAGTGTCACACTAACAAGATGTCAAACCAACGCTGAATGATTGAATATAGAAGAATTAACAATAATATCACCCACTCCCTGAATATAGGACAAATCAAAACAATTCAAATTCCTTACTTGATTTGGCCCGCTTGGCTTCAAAATATTCCTTCAACGTGCTTCGATCCATCTCCATTTTGGATTTCTCTTGATAATATCAATATAACCTTTTGGCAAGATTCGACTAAGTAAGGTAATAAATTATAAGACACAGAGCAAACACACAGTGCGAATCAAGAAAATAAAGAACAAGAAGTGCGAAGCACAAAATATCAAAAACAAATTTCAAAAGTGGCGCCGTTCGCGTCAATTTCGTCGGTCTTCAGGTATTCGTATATAAAAAATAGTAAAATATGACGTCATAGAAACAAACAATAAATGAAGTTTCTATTCGCGGAAGTTTTAAAACCACATTTTTCATTGGTGGATTTATTGGTCTAGCTGGTTCCAATAAAAATGATATAGGGCATAAATAGGCGGATGACAGTACAGCCAAGTACAGCGAAGTTTTTGTGTGTTGTTTGGTTTATATAGCCTTGGTTGTTTGTTTGTGTGAATGTAATATGAATCGTATGGGTCAATTCTACCTTCTAAATAGAATGTGTATCTCCTAACTCACTCTTACTATTACCTGCTTTACCTATTACCTACCTGATTACCTACTTGCCTTCTGGGAAACAGCCGCAGATCGAGAGATTTGGGTTTGCTCCACTCCAGCCTCATCCGCCTGAACTGGACGGACCGGCTCGTCCGGAGACGAGCGTCAGTCTGCGACTTCCAGCATTACCAAGAGGTCTTGCCAAGAGGTGGCTCTGCACTTGGGTGAGATGTTAGCATTTCTTGGCCTCTCAATGTGCATCACACATACCTCGTAAACTTGACCAATCAGAAGCGGTAGGTAAAACCAGTTTGATGCAGAGTTGATGAATTTTTGGTGACTCGTAATTTGACTCCAACTCCAATTTTCAATACCTATTGACTCTGACTTTGACTCTGGTTAGGAAAGTAAACTCTGACTCTGCAGCCCTGGGCAAAAGTAAATACCAGCAAGCTGGCTGCTTTCTTATTCTAATAATGAAACGGCACCTGCCTACCTGTACCGGTAAATATTTACATAAAGTCCGATCCACTTTACAAGCATAAATTTTGCATATTCTTACATTATTTGACATTCCGAATCCAGATATCATACTTACGTGCGGCGGAAAAATCAAAAAACACAAAAATAACAACCTGTTACACCCCTTCATAACACGATACATACCCACGTGCACGCACCGACGACGCGAATGAATGCGACGAGGGAAAAACGCCGCCGTTTCAGCGCTGCCATATGAAGTTTTTTGCTGCCATTTTCGGGGAAATGTTGGGAACCGGGGTGTATGGGTGGGGAGGGAATCAAATACAATAATCAATGAAAGTGACGTCAAAATAACAAAACATGAAAAAATGGTAAAAATCATAAACTAACCTAACCTAACCTAACCTAACCTAACCTACTGATTTCTGCCTACCGGGGATAAGGAAAAAGTTACTTGCAGGAATAGATTGCAGGCAAGAGTAAATCAAATATTTTTAGGTTAAGTGGTCATGCATCAGGCTTCAGGCCTTCGGCCTGAAGCCAGATACATAACCACTTAACCTAAAAATATTTGATTTACTCTTGCCTGTAATCTCTCCTAAGGCATCGCCTTCGGCACTGCACTGCTCCGCCACGAGTATTATTATGACGTCACTTTCATAACAAAATCGAATAGCGTAATGTTTTCACTCAACCTTGGAGTTAATTCATTCGATCCTTTCCACGCGGCGCAAACGGCTGGTGGAGTGCGGTAGTGGCCGGTGGTGACGGTAAATATTTTACAGGTGCCTTAAAACTTGGTTGCGCCATGAATAACTATCAGATATGAAATCAGGAGGCTAAAATACATCGTGTCGTATGTTTGTTATAATTACTTTGGCGATCGGACCTTATGTATATAAATACCCCTGTACCTACCTACCTAACCAACTATTGCCATGGTTTCAAACAGTAGCGGCGGAACACCTTCAATTAAAGGGGGGCTGTGCCGACTTTTGGTTCCATTCTTTCCACCAGTGTCCCAAAATTATATTTTGGCTTGGGTGTCCGAGGGGAATATTCGTCACTACAAAGAGGACTGAGAGTGGAAAATTGCCAGCCAGAACGGCACAAAAAACTTCAAACAGGGTCAGCAATTCATTTTTGAATTTTGGAGCCTAGAGGATGTGAGAGCCCTTTATAAGATAATTAAATCGAACGTGGACTGTGGCGGGAGGTAAAAGGTACACAGGCGGACACACAGATGCTCTTTATTAATAAAATAGGGAGTGAAAAATCGCTCTGGAAAATTGGAGGTGAGAGTGAAAAATTATTTTGAATTGGATGTCACTTCCCACCTAAACTCGCAAAGTTTTTTTGAGTTTCGAAAAAACCGGAATATATGTGATAGTACCTACCGTCTTCTATCTACATATCAAATTTCAGATCGATACCTCATTTTTTGGCCAAGTTATAGCGAAAAAAACTGTTCAAAAATGATGACATCAAATTTTCAAACTCAATTTTTGGCAATTCTAGACCTCGTAGAGCAAAACAAAGACCACCATTAGACTCCCCGTGACGAGCTGCATCGAATCGATACCCATTTTATGCAAAATATCAACTTTGAAATTTGACCTGACCTTGACCTGACCTTCACCAAAACGTGACCTAGGCTGGCCCCAAATGCTGCCTAACCCACATAATCGCATTTGTCATGTAAAATGGACCATAAAACATGTATCACATGACACTTTCATATTGTGACCCCGGTGACCTGACCTCGCTGTGACCTGACCTGGTATCAGTGACCTCAGATAGCAAAGTATGTGTTTGACGAACATTGTACCATCGATGGTTTTCAATAACTTACCAATTTACTCGATTTCACAACACATTTCTTGAAATGCCTGTGAACGGTGAAAATCTGACCTTTGACCTGACCTGTGACGTCATCGGTTTGACCTAGGTTAATGAAATTCGGTCACAAGGTAGTTCCCCGGTGGGGCTATCGAACACCGTTTGAATTTTGAGAATCGGCCGGTAAATTTCCGAGATCTTAGGGGGGCCGAAACGCCCCCCCCCCCCCTACGGGTGGTAGGGTCCGCCGGTAGCCCTACGGGGCGCGGGTTAAGATGCCAAAATCAAAGGGCGGCGCGGTGCCCCAGTGCCCTCCCCGTTCCGCCGCCTATGGTTTCAAAGCAATGCCTAGGTCCTGATTTGAAATTGTAGAAATTGTATGCTGGTGCAAAGTGCTAATGCTGAGTGTTAATTGTATGTCTTGCCTGCAGTTTAACCCTATTCCTGGCGGGCTCCGCCGGGACAAGAAACTGGCGGGGGGCCCGATTCGGCCCCCCCTTCAGATCTCAAAAACTACACATCGCAGCGACAAACGGCGAACGGCGTTTGATAGGTCGTTTAACCCTATTAGTGGCAGGCTCCTGGCTACCCCATATTAGTGGCAGGGGGGGTACGACCCCCCTTGATATCTCGAGATCTAACCGGCCGATTTTCAAAATTCAAACGGCATTCGATTTAGCTCAACAAGATCTACATTTCTAAAAAAAAAAATTAAAAAATGTCAATAGGGGGTAGAGGGGGGTAAAAACGGGCAAATTGCAGATACATTTTAGACTGTTTATCACGGCCAGGTTTCTGAACCAATCTTAACGCAACTTTTGCCGATCGATAGAAAATGAACCAGGAATTCACATGGATCCTAAAAATATGCATTTTCAAAAATCATAGGCGGATACAGATCATTGAGATTGGGGGTACACAAAAAGTATAGTAAATAAGGTTTTTGTTGGTACTGTTTCTAAAAAGGGTGGCAATGGTCTTGTTATGTTACAATTTTCTTATGAGAGAACGACTAAAATTGTATTGGTCATGCATAGGCGGTGTCAGGGCACCTATGTTGGGAGGTAAAAAATAACCCCCCTTTTTGGACGCCTGGATCCGCCTATTATAGCAAAAACGTGTCAAAAGAGGATGCACAATAACTTTGTATATGTTATCACATGATACCTTTCATTCACTGTTCGTAAAACTGGTGCAGCATCGTGATCTTCGCCCAAATGACTCGCTTCACGAATAGGACCCCCAATTCCCAGTGCTCTGGAGCCGCCCCTGGTAAAGTTATGAACTTGAAATTTTCAGGGAATGTGCCCAATTTAGTTTTAGGAAAAGTCAGAAAATTTCAGCATCGTAGCTTCAGCGGTTTCGGAGATATTCCCGAAAAACCTGAGGGGTGGATAAAAACAACCCCCCCCCCCCTGCCACTAATAGGGTTAAAGATCTACAACTTTTACATAAAACATTTTCAGGTCAGGTCAATATTGAGGTCACCAGAGGTCATCAACGATAAAATGTTTTGGAATTAGTTACCTATATAACTTTTAAACTGAGAAACATAGAGACATAAAACCAATACATTTTTTGTTGCTCTCGCCGAGGCGATGCGAAATAAGTATGTGATGACCTTCACAGGTCAATTTAAAATTTGACCTGAGGTCAAGGTCAGGTCATTCATCAATGAGGTTGTGGGGTATGGTCATGCTGCATACCAAACGAAGCGCCTTGACCAGGCGAGCAGTTTGGTACTGTAGGGATTATCTATGCGATTTGTCATCTATGCGATTTGTCATTTCATATTGTCATTTTCATTTATATTGTCACCGCTTTATTAATCAATCTGTTACCTGTTGTCAATTGCGCGTCAAGTTTGTTTGATATTTGTAAACCGGCCTGCCGCTGGCCTCAACCTTCCTAGTAACCGCTGTGCCATACGCCATAGAACGTGTCGTGCAAAGGTCACGGCGGCACCCCTGAGGCGGCCGCTGCCCGTACGTTTAGGAGCCCATTGTCGTGACGTCACGCCTGTGAACAAAGGTCACGGTAGGGGCTCTCCCGGCAGCCGGACGGTGACTCATACGTTGAGCTTGTCTCTCGCCGCGCCTGCGGGCATATTGGTAGTACTAGGGACGGCCAGCATATGACCGCGGCTTTCGGCGACATTGTCAATTCGTTTTTCGACTCTGCTGTTCGCTGCAAGACCAATACACATAGAAAACGGCTCGGGCATTTGGAGAAGAGCGGCTACTCTGAGGCGAGGGAAGAACACGGAGATTCACACAAACGACCTGACTAGGTTGCACCGGCCACAGTCGACCGAGGTGGGCTTCCGCGCCCTTAAAGACGCCTCTGACTGGCCATTGCGCTGACACCCTGGTCGGACCACGGTCATTGATCGGACCCTGCCACTGGTTCGTGCTCAGGCTGCCTTAGCGGGTAGACCTGCTCGACCAGACGCCCCACTGGTGGGCGAGTGCTCGGTTCCGACTTTCACCGCCGGTCCAACAGCGTTCTGCTGGTTCCCGCCGATCCGGTTACGACACCGCAAGTGCCGTACCGACTCGGGCGTCCCAGGTGGGCGTAACGGTTACCACACCAGTTCGCGACCCCCAGGCTCTGTCAGCCGTCGTACGGCTCTCGGACGGACACTCTAATAGATCAGCCACAGATCAATAGGTTGTCACAGACCGTCCATCCAGCCACGCGCTACCCACAGCGCAGTACGACAATTGGTGACCCCGACGTGATCTCCGTTGTTCGACCTTAGCCTCTCGTCATGCCCGCGGACAGCGCACAGTCCGGCGCCGCAGCTCAAGACTCGGCCAGCGTTCCAGCTTCAGCCTCTGAGTCAACTCATCGGCCCATGGCTAGCTTCCGGCTACCACCATACTCTCCGGAAGAGCCCGAC